TTTTCATATTTATTTGTAGAAAGGAGTACCAAGTAACTTATGATTTTTAACATTTCTTATATTTGGATATTTATTTTCCATCTTAATTTATTTTCTATATTTGTGTTCTCTCCTTTTAATTAATCAAATTAGTTGCTGATTTGTCTAGTTTTTTCAAAGAACCATGATTTCATTTATAACATGATCTATTTTTCTATTATCTGCCTTTTTTCTACCATTTATTATTTTCTTTATTGTATTTTCTTCTGGACTGCATTGTGAATATTCTTTCTAAAATTTTTTGTAAAGAATCTAAGATCACTAATTTAAATAGATGACATAGATTCTGTATGGTTTTCATTATCATTATTTTCAGAAATTCCCTAATTTTAATATTTCCTTTTTTACTCAATGTTGTTTAATAAAAGGTTTTTGCCTTTTAAGTCAATTTAGATGTTGACACATTATTTTAAATTTAATTTTAATTTCTAGTTTATCCCATGATAATCAGCAGTTGTTGGTAATTTCTCTACTTTATGAAACATACTGATGTTTTTCTTTGTGATGTATTTATGCTAGGTTTATGTGTTTCATGTGCTTGAGAAGAACGTATACATATATGATTTCCCTTAGATCTTATTAATCTTTACTTTTTAACCATTTGACATATCTTGCACTGAAAATTATATTAAACTATTGGATTAATAGGGTGTTTTTTTCTTCTTTCATCTTCTGTAGTGTCTGCTTCATCTAGGGGGTGGCTGGGTACATAGAAATTCATCATGTCACATCTAGTTTGTAAATTTAGAGATGAACACTTTTACTAAGTTATGTCCTATAGTTGATTGTTCTGAGTCAATTTTCCCAAGTCCATATGTGTTTTTTTTCCATAAGAAAATCTTTCTTGGATATAATTTTAAACATTATTTGCTTCTTTTATTTTTCTTCAAATCCTCCAATTATATATGTTGGACTTTTTTGCCCATCTTACATCCCCATCACATTTGATCTGATTGTTTTTAGGACCTCTTATTAATTCTCTTGGCTATTTTCCTATAATTCTTCAAAGACCCTAGCTAAATTATCATTCAAATATATACTTTCTTGGGTACTTGATAATTTATTTTTCAGTTTAAAGATGAAATTGACTGTGATTTATTTCTTTAGTTCAATCAACTCTCATTGTATTTAATCCTGTTTTATAAAATTTTTGATCCAAATCCATTTTTAATTTCTATATTCCATTTTGTTTAATATCTGTTTTTGCTAGTTTAAGAATTTAGAGTGTTATGTTACAAATGCTTTCCATTTTGAAGTTATTTTGTTGTGGAAAATTTTAATCAGCTGATTTTTACTATCTCTATACTTAATCCAGTAGCTTTGTACAGAAGCAGTCAGACTTTTTGCAGTTTCTGGGTATTTCACAAAGTCTCTCTAGTTTAAGAGGACATATTTTGCTCTATTTAGTAATATGGTTTCTTAAATGATGAGATTGTGAACAGTTGGGGTTAGAAAGAGGAGGGTTCGGAATATCTTCCAATTTTTCCTTAGTTTTGCAGAGCTTAATTTTTCCTTTTTAGTGTATTCTTTCTCATACTTGCCATGTCTTCAAGGGGCATAACTCTTCTCTATATAACTCCTTTTCTCCCAAAAGCAATGATTCTCTGAGAGTGCCACCCGTGGTCTATATTCCTTTTAGGTAGCTAGTACTGTGCACTACAAAGCCCCAGACACATGTCCAATATTTGGAAGTTAGTTTTAGACTTTCCTTTTCTGTGGGAGATTTTGTCTTTACTTTGTCTAAGTTCTCCACCCCTCTATCCTTTATTCCAGAATCTCCTAAGACTCCTCTCCCTCATTCTTTGCATAACAGACTCATATTCCTCATTCCTTGCATGCACAGGATGTACTGTTAATGTTTTGTGTTTATTTCTCTGTAAACAATATTTGTGAAAATCTCTGCCTTCTAGTATTGCTAAGTGAGGCATATGCATTTTATTTCATATTTCTTTTGTTTCATTTTATGCTCGTTATGCATATCTGGGAGGACATGGGGAGAAATTGAAATTTAGGCAGCTGCTATTATCACAGGTCAGCCCTATTTTTTCCTACAGTAATTCTGCAGTGCTAAATGGTGGGATAATAGTGCAACCACAAAATATAAGCTACCATGATTGATAATATACCTTGCTCCAAATAATATTTTAAGAACTTTGTATGTTTTTTCTGCTTAATTCTTATACTATTCTAACATAAACATCATTTATCTTTTCATTTTAAAGATGAGTAAAGTAAATTTTTGATGGTAAATGACAGAGCTGGTATTTCAATGAAAAGCTATTTTTCTGCAAAATCCATGTTTCTTTTACAATATTTCAAGGTATAGATTTAGTTCTCAGTTTTGCTATGTAAATACCTTGAGCAAGTTTCTTAAATTATCTCAGTTTCTCAGCTTTTTGAAAATAATAGTTAAAACAAAAATACTAAATTCCACATCATTGAGCTGTTGAGAGGGTTAAATTGATAGAAATCACCTAGTTTGTTGCCTGGTAAACCATAGGCACTTAAAGAATAGCAACTTTCTATCACTCAGCCACTGGATATAAATTAGAATACAGTAACTTGTGCTATAGACTGAGCACTGAGGTAACATGACATGCCTATTGTCTGTGATAAGTTCATCTAAAGGGTTTGGAAAAAGACATCAAGCAGAATCAAAGACAAGGACAGGGAGACTGTTAGGACAAGTAACCTAACTCAAAGTGTTGATTTAAGAGGTGTTATTGCGACATGATACCTAGGAAAATCACACAAGAATAAGGATTGCAAAGAGAAGGCAGAAACTATAGTCTAGAAGGCAGAAACTATAGGCAGAAACTATAGTTTTCAGCCTTTATGTGACAAAAGGTTGGAAGTCAATGATCAGAAGGCCTAATTGGTCCCACTATTGAGGAATGACTAAAAATTTTTCTTCTTTTATTTTACTTTTCAATTTAACCTGATAGAATTTATTGCTTCAGTTAAGGGACCTCATACATTTTTGGAATTTCATTCACTATGTTCATAATTATAATAATTCAATGCCTAGTACACATCACATGTTAAAAATCCATGAGTAACATTTGGTCCATAGTGATTTGTATTCTCTTTAGATTACTTGGTCAAAATCAAAGCTTATAATTTTTCAAATTAGAGGGCTACTTTTGACAGTTCCATTTTAAAACTATATTATGTTCATCTTTCACAATAAACACTAGGCTAGAATTGGGTATACACTGTGTGTTTGTAGAAATTCACTTTTACAATTAAGTTTCTAATTTAAAAATAAAAAAACTTAGAGGAACTAATGAGAAATTAAGGTTAAAAAATAAAATTTATTGAACTATTCAAATCTTACATTAATAAGCCTAGTGAGTTTTTAAATACATATTATCTATGTTCCTACACATGCTCATTTTGATCATTCTAATTAAATGTAATTAAACTGAATAATGTGTATAGCTAGGCACCATCTGCCAATTCCTGATGTTGATTCACAACTTGTTAATGTTTCTTGAATAAAATCCAGAGGCAGCTGTAGTAGAAAGAGTATAAAGTCAGCAAAACTAGGGTCATATTCTGGCATTGCACTTTCTCCTTAATGAAAAATGCAATTCACTAAATCTCTCTGATCTTTTCCTTCTTATTTGAAAAGAGTAATATTTATATCAATATGAAAATAGAGGGACCACTGTCGGCAGAGACCAACTGGGATATTGCCCACATGATCAGTGGCTTTGAATGAAATACAGATGCTTTCTCCAGAACTAAAGTTAAAACTCCTCCTTTTAACTTTGAACTTGGCTTGTTCAAAGGTAGTCTTTTCTTTTGTACATTAAATAAATTTTTCAAAATGCAAAAAAAAAATAATGGATCCCATGCTATTGTGAGAATCAAAAATAAAGTACCTATCATGAAATCTGATAAAGTATAATTTCAATAAAATTTTAGAATATGCATACATAATTTTATCAAGGTATTTACATGCATTAACCTTATGGTTCCATTTTTTTAATTTCAAAATATTACAGGCATATGAATGTTTTCAGATACATGTATTAATTTTGTTATACTTGAGTCAGGGTTATAAGTGTGTCCATCACTCAGATAGTATTCATTGTACCATTAGGTAGGTTTTCACCCATCCCCTCCTCCACCCTCCCCCCTGGTTTATTTCCATTGAGTTATACTTCCCTCTATGCACATATATACTCACTGATTAGTTCCAATTTAATAATGACTACATGTGGTGTTTGTTTTCCCATTCTTTAGATACTTCATGTAGGAGAATGGTCTCCAGTTCCATCCATATTGTTGCAAAAGACATTAAGGCATCTTTCCTCATGGCTGAATAGTATTCCACAGTATACATAGACCACATTTTGTTAATCCACTCATCAACTGACAGGCATTTGGGTTGATTCCACATCTTTGCATTTTGAATTTTGCTGCAATAAATATTTGAGTACAGGTGTCTTTTTGATAAAATGACACCTTTTTAAGGACATCTTTTCCTTTGGATAAATATCCAGCAGTGGGATTGGTGGATAAAATGGTAGATCTACCTTTAGTTCTTTGAGGAATCTCCATACTGTTTTCCCTAGAGGGTGTACTAATTTGGAGTCCCACCAACAGTGTTTAAGCATTCCTTTCTCTCTCCATCTACTCCAGCATCTATTATTTTGGGACTTTTTAATAAAAGCCATTCTAACTGGGGTGAGGTGATATATCATTGTGGTTTTAATTTGAATTTCCATGATGCTTAGTGATGTTGACCACTTTTTTCATATGGTCATTGGCCATTTGTCTAATTTAAAAAAAAATCTCTGGGCTGAATTGTGTCCCCCTCTAAATTCGTATGTTGAAATTCCAACTTCAAGTACCTAACTGTATTTGGAGATGGGCTCTTTAAAAGAAGTGATTGAGTTAAAATGAAGCATTTAATATGGAGCCCTAATCCAATGTGACTGGTGTCCCCATAGGAAGAAGAGACATCAAGGATTCATTTGCACAAGGGAACAACCATGTGAAGAGGCAACAAGGAGGTGAACATCTGCAAGCCCAGAAGAGAAACCTCAGGAGAAATCAGTCTTGCTGGCATCATGTTCTTGGACTTCCACCCTCCAGAACTGTGAGAAAACAAGTTTTGGTTGTTTAATATTTAGCCATCCAGTCTGTGAGATTTTGTTATGGCAGCCCTAAAAAACTAATACAATGTCCCATTTTTCTTTTATAGATTTTTACACACTGAAACAACACTGCACAGAACAAACAACAAAGAACAGAGACATAGTTCTAAGACAGTAATAGTTTATGTATTTTTACTAAAATAACAGCATTATCCACACTGATAATACCAGCACTTCCTGAGTCCAGCTTTCCTTTGGTCCAGCTTTCCCAGAAAAATCCCTGTAATTGTTCATTAAAAGTGTGTGAAAGGGCAAATCGAGACAGACATCACTGTGACAAAATGGTCTTGCTCTAGCTGAACACTAACCTGACATAACATACACGTGTACCTGGTTAAGAACTAATGGGAGGATAGCTGACAAAAAAAAAAAACAACAAAATCACTTCTCATTTTATTCTTTTACTCATCATCTGTTTAGAATTATGCAAGTGATTATAACATACAATGAAGTGTAAATGCCAGTGCCCTCCTTTTGAGCTATATTTGTTCACTGCAATGATTTTGCACCATCTGCTTTCACCTTGGCTTTCCTGTGCCCCTTATTTCTTAAATCATCTTTCACTATATCAGAATCTGTTGGACTTTAAGTTCTAAAAGGTTAAAAGCATGACTAGGTAAAATCAATCATTGCCTCTTTTACTCTATTTGGCTCTTCCATCAAATATCTAGTACTCTTCTCATTTTATATATTATATGTAAAATGTATAACTTTTTATACATTAAAATAGCCTGTGTAATCATTGAAAGGTATCCATTTTGATACATAGAGCAATTTAATTCCATTTTTTTGTTTATTTTAATTTTTTCATAGAATTGCAAACTTCAGAAATAACATAAAACTGTTTCTAAAACCCAAATCTTCAAATGTCACACATTGTTGGCATGAAGTAGATTCTATATTAAGATTACATACAAAGCTTTCTGTTTTAATTTCTCATTAAAACACTGCAAACTCAAATTCAAGAAAGACTTAAGGAACAAAGTTTCCTATTCCATATCATACACCACACACACACACACACACACACACACACATTTTGCCATTGCCACAGCCCACTTAAGAGCTTTATTTATTTTATTGCCATATCATAGGGCTCCGCTCTCAAATTTTAACAGCTTCTTATCCTCCTAACTTACTTTGCTTTACGTACCATCAACAATGTTTATCACCATCATCCCTCTATCTACTGTCATATCTTCTATCACCTACCTATCATCTGATGTAGGAAAATAAAATAAGAAACACTTCAGTTTTCAATAGAATCTAGAAAATACATTTCCATGTAAGCACCTGCTGGGTTTTAGAATAAACCTTTCTCACACAGATCTCAAACTAAGAAATAGCCTGAACCCAAAGATCAAATCCATGTCTCTGCTGGTAAAATATGGCCTCAGAGTTAATATCCCCAAAGTGTGGCTGTAGTCCTTCTTTGTGATACCTCAGAAAGATTTGGGATGATGCCTCATAAATCCTCTTAGATAGACAAATTTTTCTAAGGATTTTGCAGGCATGCTTTTAGACTGTCTCTTCTAGATAAAGAGCTTCTGAAAGTCTTTAGAGTGTTATCCCTTAGCATCTTGACCCTCCACCCAAGGTAGAGAGAGAGGGACCTGTCTCAAAGAGATTTGTAGATATTGCTTCTATTCAATGGGGTGGATTATAATTTGATACACAGAAAGTCTACAGAATTTTGAAAGAAAAGTATACAACAAGGGTACAAAGTTCAATATGCAGAAAGATGTTTGAGACTACAGCTTCCTATAGGCAGGAACCAGCCTAGGAAAACTATAAGTAAAAAATGAACCATACTTTTTTTCATGGAAAATGGAAGAGTTAAAAGCCTAATAGGCAAAGCTTTGTTAAGGAGAGCCAGGGAGAAAACCTAATCAATCCCTAATCAATGGATCAATAACAATTGTCACCCTGGCTAGACTTAAGCATTGCTGTGTACCAGGTACTGTTATATGCCTCCTATTTTGACATCCCACTCGTTGTTGTTGTTACTGTTTTTTAGTTCTCCTGTACTTGTTTCACATTGTGAAATTTTACATTGTGTGTATATAGGATAGATAACTTGGAATTTTATTTCATAGATCTTCAGGTCAAGAGAAGACCTGTCTATCTGGGAAATGTCATCTACACCTTAAGCACCTTTAAACAAAGATGTACTACTGTTGGTGAGAACATAAATTATGAAAAATCATATGGAGGTTTCTCAAAAATCTAAAAATAGAACTACCATCTCATACAGCACCTCACTTCTGGGCATATAGCAGAAGGATATGAAACCACTATGTTGAAGAGAGATTTGCACTCCCATGTTCATTGCAACATTATTCACAATTCCAAGATATGGAATCAACCTAAATATCCATCAACAAATAAATGAATAAATAAAGACAGAATACTATTCAGTCTTAAAAAGAAATAAACTTCTATCATTTGAAATAGAAATAAGCTAGGCACATAAAGACAAATACTACATAATCTCACTTAGTGTGGAACCTAAAAATGTTGAACCAATAAAGGTAGATAGTGGCAAAGAAATCATCAAGAAAAAAAAACCCATTAAAAGGTGGGCAAACAACATGAACAGATATTTTTCAAAAGAAGATATACAAATGGCCAACAAAAATATGAAAAAATGCTTAACATTACTAATCATCACGTATGTGCAAACTAAAGCCACAAGGAGATACCACCTCACCGTGTCAGAATGCCCATTATTAAAAAGTCAATAAACAATAGATATTGTCACAGATGTAGTGAAAAGAACACTGATAGACTGTTAATGGGAAAGTGAATTAGTACAACTTCTGTGGAAAACAGAATGGATATTTCTCAGAGAACCAAAAGTAGATCTGCCATTCAATCCAGCAATCCCACTACTGACTACCCAAAAGAAAAGATGTCATTATATCAAAAAGACACTTGCACTCATGTGTTTATCACAGAAAAATTCACAATTGCAGAGATATGAAATCAACCTAAATGCCCATAAACTGCTGAGTGGATAAAGAAAATGTGGCATATATATATACCATGGAATACTACTCAGAGAGAATGAAATAATGTCTTTTGCAGCAACTTGGATGAAGCTGGAGGCCATTATCCTAAGTGAAGTAACTCAGGAAAAGAAAAAAATAAATTCTGAATGTTCTCACTTATAAGTGGGAGCTAAGGTATGGGTATGCATGGTATAATGGACATTAGAGACTCATAAGGAGGGAGAATGGGGGGAGTGTGGACTGAAAAATTACCTATTGAGTACAATATACAATAGTAGGATAGTGGGTACACCAAAAGCCTAGACTTCACCACTATATGATACATCCATATAATAAAACTCCACTTATACTTTCTAAATCTATTGAAATAATAATGAAAAAAAGAATCAAAGAGTAGAGTTATAGTTATAAGAGGCTGGATGTGGGGGGAAGGAGGGAATGAGGAGTTGTTGATCAAAGGGTATAAAGTTTCAGTTAGAAGGAAAGAATAAGTTTTGAAATCTACTGTTCAATATGGTGACTATAGTCAATAATATTATATTTTTCAAAATAACTGAGAGAATAAATTTCAAATGTCTCACCACAAAAGTAATAAGTAAAGTAATGGGTATGTTAACTAGCTTGACTGAAACATTCTACATTGTATACATATATCAAAGCATCATGTTATAACCCATAAATATACATAATAATTATTTGTCAATTGAAAATAATATTAATAGAATTTTAAAAGTGAATAAATGATGATATTCTAAGCCTCATGACTGAACCTGAATCCACAGTCAGAAGAGGCTTGTGGGATTCTTGGGTCTGAGTAGGTTTTATGTAAAAGGGTTATGAACCTTTGGGGACCAGAAGGTAAACTGTGATAGCCAGTCTCCAAAGATGACCTGTGGCTTGCAATAGCCAACGAAATATGGTGGAATTGGCATAATGTAGCCCTTGCCCTTAAGAGGAGTGGCAGCTTCTGCTTTATTTCCCTTGGAACTCTTGCTGTTGGAAACTCTAACTCTTCAAATACAAAGTCTAGCTACACTGCTGGAGAGACCTTGTGCAAAGACCCATGCAAAGGCTATATGGAAAGGAGAGGCACAATAATTATGTGAATAGGAAGAGAGACTCACTCATTCCAGCATCTCAGTTGAGACTTAAAATAACTCCAGCACCAGCTGAAGCCTTCATACAACTGTATGAAAGATGCCAGTAAGGCCACCAAAAGAACTGCCAACTTGACCCTATCAACCAACAGCACCCTGATAGACAATAAAATAAGTGGTATATTAATCCACTAAGTTTAGGGGCAGTGTGTTACACAATAGATAATTACATCTTTTTCTCTCACTTATCTGCTGAGATGATAAACAGAACTTCCTACATGTATATATCATTTTTGAAGATGATATATAACACTCTTCCCTGACTTTAAATCATCCTAGGTATTATATAGTCATGTGCCATATAATGTTATCTAGGTCAACTATGGAATGCATATATGATAGAATGCAACTATGGAATGCAAAAGATTATAATGGACCTGAAAAATTCCTATCTTCCTGATGAGCCTGATTCTATGTATGCATGTATGTGTTTCTTAGTATTTAATAAAAAGTTTAAAAAGTAAAAAAAGAAATTAAATAGATGAAAGTTTATAGAATAAGGTTATAATGAAAGAAAATATTTTATTAATATATAGCTGTACAACATGTGCATTAAGCATTATTACAAAAGAGTCAAAAAGTTAAAAAAAGTTTATAAAGTAAAAAGTTGCAATAATCTAAGATTAATATATTACTGAAAAAATAAAAAATATATAATTTTTTTTGTAGCCTAAGTGAATATTACTTATGAAGTCTAGAGTAATATATACTAATGTCCCAGGCCTTCACCTAGTACAGTCACATTCACTCATCACTCTCTTACTGACTCACCCAGAGCAACTTGTAGTCTTGCAAATTCCATTCATGGTAAGTGCCCTATACAGGTGTACCACTTTTTATCTTTTATACCATATTTTTACTGTACTTTTTCTGTTTAGATACAAAAATATTTACCATTGTGTTACAGTTAGCTACAGTATTTTGTGCAATAAAATGCTGTACAGCCTTGCATCCTAGGAACAATAGACTGACTATACCATATAACCTATGTGTGTAGCAGGATATAACATCTGGTTTGTCCACTCTATGATGTTTGCACAATGATGGAATTACCTAAGGATGCATTTCTCAGAACATATCCTCGTTGTTAAGCAATACATGACTATATGCCATTCCCTCCTTGGTAGTCAGAATGTTCAAAATTAAAGTAAAATCCAAACACAAATAATGCCTCTTATTTCCATTGGGTATTTTGAGTGCTGAGATGCATGAGCTTGGATGAGATGGGTCATTAGGTCAGAGATTTGCTCTGAAATCATCACCTTTGGCTACTAATGTGCAAAGAGTAATGTTAAAGTTGTGATGTGGTTTTTTGAACATAAAGAGCTTTTATATTTTTCCTGTGAAAATCTATTTTAGCATACATTCCAAAAGTATAAAATATATGGAACATTTCATTAAAACCCAATGGAAAATGTCACTTATTCTTTAGCTCCATGCATGTGAAATGCATTGTTAACCAACTGCTGTATTATTTTCTGTTGAGCTCAGATATGATTTTAGAAATCTTCACAACATATTTCTCAAAGAAACTTCAATTAGTAGATTGGATTCAGTAGAGGCATTTCTACTGATACCTGAAGCAAGAAAATTATGTATGTTTTCAACAATATTATACTGTTTTTGAAATTCCAGTAAATACTACAGAGTAAAACAATTAAGAGATATGGAAATGAGGATGATAAAGAAGCTATACTAATATGATTACCTGTTTTGTACTCTAATTGAGAAAGAATGAAATTTAAGCAGAAAATTTAATTAGAAGACATTATACAAATAAATCCTTAGATATCAAGAGTTTTCTATGTTTCTTTAATAAAAAATAAGTGTATTATAGTAATTTTAATATACAAAGACATTAGCATGGTATGGATAGGAACCAAAGAAGAAAAAATTTAAATTTTAATCTGGTATAGAGAAGAATGGAATGAAGTAAAAACATCTTAAGTATATTTATGTGGTGATCACACATCACAAAAATAACAATACTTTTAAATTAATTTGTTATGGTAATATGATTATAATAAAATTATAATGGCAATTATTTTTGGTACCTAAAATACAATCCTAATTATTTTCTGGAATAATCATGGATTCTTGATATTTTAAAACACTAAATTAATTAGGATATCATAATACAGTCAGGCAGAAAATAAAGCAGAATAGACCCACGGATGATACATATATCAGTTCATATTTGTTAGGGAAGTTGGGTTATTCCATAGCTGGTATAGAGATAATTGGTTAAGTACTGGAAAGATATTCTTATGTTTATACCTGGCATTACATGCCAAAATAATGTCAATAAAAGAATATATAAAACAAAAAAAAATGAAATACAGAAAGGAACATATGGGGAAATCTGTAGAAAATTTTAGGCGTTATTCAACGCCTAAGTAAAAACAGGAACATATTTGTATATTTCACTTCTGTGTTAAGCACAATTTTGTTAAGTATCTGGACTCAGTTTACAGAGACAAGAAGTTAGCCATCATTTTTAAGGATGATACATTTTTGGAGGGTCTTTTTCTACAAAAGTGCAAATTGTAGGCAATTATAGGTATTTCCTGATTAATGCGTGAGTAAGTAGGATTGTGTATATTACTTCTCTCAGGAATCTGTACATTTAATTCAGAGCTGTTGGTCACTTTCTTCTTATAGCTGGAATATGTAAAGAAGATGATGATAAGAGGGCATGTACTGCCCCTCAAATCCAAGAGACACTTCATCCTGAGAAATGAAGAAAATACAAAGAAAATTCAGAGGCCAGCAGTTTAAATATAAAAAAATGGTGAAATTACAAAGTATAATATATTTATTCAGTATATTACTGTACATTCAATAAAAAGCATATTCTCAAAGCAATTTGAGAATAAAATGAAAGAACTCATTGTGTAAAAGGTAAAGACAAAAGAAGAATGCACTGTTTATTTTTATGTTTGATTAAGTATATGGGAATCTAGTAAAAACCCTGATATTTAATTAATAATCAGTATTTTAAAATAAAGTCACTTGTAAAACTATCTGAATAGAAGAATGATCTAGGTTTTTGTGATTTTTTAAAATCATTTCTAAAATTATTTCTATAAGATAACATACCTTTATTAAAGCATTTCATTGAACTTTAATAGAAAACCTTTATTTCATAGGTACATTTTACTTATTACATAATAATTAACCATATAACTGTATTAATGAGTATATTTGTAAAAAACTGTTTCTCTAGAAACAAACTTACTTAATTTTATTATGCTTTATAAGTTATCTAATGCAACAGAAGTATCCAGTTTAGTGGAATGTAGGCCATTAGCCGTGAGTGCTCAGTGTTTAGTATACCCAGGAAGTGGTCTTCAAGTGGAGTAGCTGATAGTATTAGAACCTATTTTTTTAGGTGTTGATGTTAGAACTACACACTGTGAAGCCCAAGTCATTTTTTTCTGTTTATGGTTTACCAAATGCATACTCTTCAGGAATGCAGAATTAAATATGTGTTATACTAAGTTACTAAATAAACTTATAAACTCAACAAAGTATAAAAATAAATGGATACATTAATAGTTATTTTTAAATTCCATATTCTTCATATTATATGAACAAAAATGTATAAAAATAATTGCACAGGTTTCCCAAATATAAAGTGAAACCCATTAACTGGATCAAGAAATTACTATCACAATCTTACCAATCACAATGCCTCCCTCCCTACAAAAGGAACCATTGTCCTCATTTTCATGATCATTTGTTTTCTTTATATTTCCTTTTATTTTTCACAACTTTTTATTACAGTTTTTTCTTTTAAATAATATAGTTTACTTTTGCCTATTGTTAACATTTATACACATGGAATCAGTGTATCTTCCTTTTTTTATTGTTATGTATGTTAGAAATACCCAGATGATTGCACATAGTGTAGTAGTCCTATACCTTCTTGGCATTTTCTTTAGAATATGTATATATTGTACTTAATGACTATTATTGTCATAAATGCAGCTGTGCAGCTGTGGTCTAAACATGAAACGACAGGTGTCCCCTTCAACATTTGGTTTTGTTTCTTTAAATATGTTCAAATACATATAAGGAACATACTGATTAAATAAAATAGACTTTAGGACAACTCTGTGATTGTCCTCACCTTCTTATTTCAATTATTGTTTGCTAATTTTTTTAATTTAACTGAAATTTCTTGGTATTCATAGTAATATATTAATTCAATAATAAAACATTGAAGAATAACATTATGCACCTTTAATTATTTAAATAAGAAATATAAGGCCTACCAATAAAAATTCATTAATATAACTGTGGTATTAATGTAACTGTCTTTGAATTTGTATGCTTGGGTGTACTCATATCTCAATTTTGAAGATTTTACTTTTTAACAGTTTAAAAATGTACACACTAAAAGAAAAAACTGTTTACTTTTGTTTTAGATAAAACTTTACAAATTTTGAACTACAGGTAAAATCATAATTCTTAATATTGGTAATTTCTACAATATAAATGTTTCTAATTTTTAATTATTTTAGTAGAGGCTTTTTTGAAATATGCAACATTATTGTGAATTACTTAATGTAGCATATTTACCTAAGAGTTTTCTAAAACAACCTTTACTTAATTACAAAATATTTAAATGCTTTCACTTTATTGTTGTAATAAGCATTTGTAATTCTGAGTTTAAGACACATCAAACTCCCATGTGGATTATTGAAAATTTAATTTACTTCAGAAATTTCATTTAAAATAAATACAAACTACTGAAAATTTGTGTGCTAATACATGGCTATCACTATTTATTAGTTACTAAAACAGAAGAATTCTTTTATTAATAGACTACCTCTGTAGCATATAGAAACCAGATTCATATATTGACTCAAGTTATCCAAATGAAAACAGAGTTATCTTAAAATGTGTCTATAAATTAGCCACATTCTTTATTTCTTGCTAACTTGTTACTGATTTATATAGATGAAACTGGAAGTTCTTGGGATTGGAGCTGGAAATTTATCATTAATTCTGTCTGAATTCCACAATCAAAAACTGATATGAACCTAGTAAGCTAATTTAAAAATGCATTATAATTATTCTCCAAACATCTTAATGAAGTATAAAAATGGCAGGTTTGACATATTTAATTTCAAAACTAAAGTACTGAATAACTTTGGAATCACTTTACTTTCACTTCAATCCCGGCTCTAATTCTCAAAAATAGATTACAAACTGGCCCCTGCATTTCTCAAGAAGGAAGATAAAATAGTGCCTAATCAATTATTCTTAAAAAATGATTTGAATTACCTCAAAATAAAATGCTTCCCTAGGAATAAAGTTTTTAAATAAATAATTGCAACCAAATACTTTAAATTATTTTTACTAAATCTAGGAAATACAAATTATTTTGCATGGTTAAATCACATTACTATATTTAAGTTACCATTAATATTTTCTATATTAAAGCCTAATTTATTATTTTGTGAAACCAAGTTAAGATTATGGTTAATTATTGTCACATCACACAAATACGTACCTAGCCAAAAATGAATGTGCTAGAGTATATTCACATGAGTAAAGTTATATCAAAATTTAACTCAAACAATAAGAAAATTTGAGAAAAAATGGCATACTTACATAGAAATAAATTAGAGAAAAATTATACCCTGGATTAAAATAAATCAGACTTTTATCCTTTTTAGTATTGTTCAATCTTATAGCAGATAGACTCCTATTTGGTTGAAATCCATTTTTCTTTATTATTCACTATCCTAATCCTACATTCCATAATATGCACATAACTTACACATATTAGCCAGGGGCTGCAGATATAGGCCTCAAGGGCACTCTGTAGGGGTGGAGAACCCAGGGAAGGGACTACAGTAAAACACAGCTAATAACTGCAAAGAGCAGGAACTTGAGGTTTTCAGACATACACACCTGTGGAGCTTCAACTTCGTTATATGAACACCCGTCAATCATGTACGCCAATCATCTGGTAACAACCCACACCTGCTGTAAGCCCGCCCCCAGAGCCCAGGCCAATAAAAGGAAACCACCTGGGAGTCCTCAACGCCCTTCTTCTCTTCTGGAGACTGACTCGTTCTCCTTTTTTTCTGTGATAAAAGCTATTTGTGTGGAATTGCTTCGTGTCTGGGGTCACTGCTGTCGGAGACCTGCTTGTGAATTTGCCAAGCAAGGAGCCAAAGAACTGGAACAACATCTAACAAGAGGCCAGGCCTGATATTTGGCGTGGAAACCTGGGAGATTCTCTGTTTTGAAGGTAAGGTGATGGAGGGAGCAGGTGTGTTTTCTGGGGGTTGCCTTGTGACGTCGTCCAGAGTCTGGTGAGAACTGGTGAGTAGTGCGCATGTGGTGCAAATCCCGGAGTTCTTGTGCTTTTTGTTATGACCCTAGGACTAAGGAAATGGCATTTTGGAAATCCAATCCTGCTACACGCCAGCCCGGGTCTTATGGGGACCCCCGTCACCCTCGGTTGTGGGCTGCCGGTTGCCTGTGGAGAGCGGGTTTCCTCAGGCTGAGGAAGGCAGTAGAGCAGTTGAGGGGACAGCCTGACTGGAAAACTTCCTGACTGTAGTGAGACCCCTGTGGGAACATAAGCGCCTTCCCTGGCCCCTATAATCCTGTCTTTCTTTTTCTAACTAAAACTTCGTTTTCTAGGACTATGGTCCATGATATCCCATGCGGTTTCAGACTTAGAGCCCCGCCATTTGCCTCATAGGCGTGAGGGGAAAGTTTTCACCCGGTCTCGAGAGCCAGGGGAGGGCTTCGACCAGGGGCGGGAAGTAGTGTCCCCACGGCGAAGTACCGCACAGGAGAGACACCCGAATGGCGGTGGCCGGCGTGTCAGGCCCAGGAACGCCTGGTCCCATGGGCCGCCCGAAGACAGGTTTTGGGCATTGCTCACTTAACCCCAACAGGGAAAGGTTTCGGGGCGCGGCCTAGCTAAGCAAGCTCTGAGCCAAACCTGCGGGACACGGGGGCGCCTGGTCTATTGCGTTCTCTTCCCATAGGGACAGTGGGACAGGAAACTTCAGTCCCCAACACTTCTCCCCTGGGATGTCTGTTAAACTGGAAAACGTTTGGACTTGACAGCCTCCACTAAACAAAACCAGTGCTTTTCTCCAACGCGGCCTTGCCCCAGTAACAACTGCCAGGTGGAGAATCCCGGCCGGAGAACGGGGGTCTTAGCCTGAACACTGCCCTACAATTAGATCTCTTTTGTAGAAGGGAGGGAAAGTGGTCAGAAATTCCCTATGTTCAAGTCTTTATATACCTGAAATAACCCCCAATACTGTGACTCTTATGTGGAGAAGTGTCAAATTAGGAAGACAGAAAAAGGTCTGGGTGTCTCTTTGGCTCCAAACCTCAAATTTCAGAAAAGAAATCAACTAAAAATAAAGGAACTGTGGCTGTAGCCTTGGCCCCAGAGGAGCTTCAAACCTCACCAGAATGAGGTCCACCCTCCCGTCTTTACTCCTCTTTTCAAAGTCCAAATCTAGTTTCCATAGGTATCCTGAAGTATCAGGGCTCACAGGACAACCTGTGAGGGTTTATGTTCCATGCTTAGTGGGGGAATCTCAAAAACATGTAAGAAAAACTGGGAAGCATCTCAGCCTACCCGGGGAAGTTCATAGAAGAATTTGAACACTTGGTGATTGTTTTTGATTTAACCTGGAAGGATGTGTGGATCTTGCTCTCACATTGCTGCTTACTAGATGAAAGAAATTGAATTTGGGCAGCTAGTCAAGTTTATGGAGATCAGCATCGTGCACTAAATCAAAATCTCCCGCGTGTAACATACTCTCGCTTTGTATATTATAGCAACCTTATTTTCTTCAATAAAAGCTGTTTGTGTGTAATTACTTCCTGTTTGTGGTCACTCTCTGGTACTGGCCCTACTTGTGAGTTTTCCAAGCAAGGAGCTAAACAACCAGGACAACAATCTGCCAGAGGCCAGGCCTGACACCCACTATTACTCTATACCATGTTAGTTCATCATTCTGTACATTTTTACATCCTACATAATATAGTATTGTTGAATGTGTCAAAAATGCAGAAAACCCTGTCATTTGACAGTGTGAAACCATCAAACACCATAGTACTAATTATAAGTTATTAAAATAGAAACATGTTCATGATGTAATGCTCATTTAAAAACTGAGATTAATACAACTAGAGAAGTATGTTAAATATTATCCTAATTTGTGAATATGTTAACCTATGCTAGGATATACATATAAAAAAATCTAAGTATACAGGTACTACAGGGTTAACAATAGACATTTTGATAATAGAATTTTTTTCATTAAGTTTCTGTATTGTTTTGTTAATGTATTAGCTCTGCAATTAAAAAAACAAAGCTAATTTCATATTTTTAATTAGTAGGGTACATCTTTATAATTTCTGGTGTGTTGATTCAAACATTTTTAGCCCCATCACACACAAATGTTCTTTGTATAAAGAAATATAATCCCTTATATATGGCTTAAATTTAACTTGCTTTCAGATTTTACTGAGGACCTTTGTAAAATTTTTGAATCTGCATTCTCAATATTGTCCATGACATTTCTTCTTTTAAATTTACTTTATTTTCCTGTTCATTCTGAGTTATTTTCATCTTTTCCTTCACATGACTGATTCAGTTTTGTAACTCTATATCTTTTGGTCTCATGAGAAAAACTAAATTTCTTATATTTAATTTGGAAATTAATTTTGCTATAATCTCCCTTTTTTTCTAGTGTATATTCTATGGGGAAAGCTTAGAGATGGCTTTGACAACTCAAAGATTCTATACATTTTTAAATTGACTTAATATAATAAGAAAAGCCACACTTATTGGGTCAAGATTACAAGTTTGATAAATATATGCAGATTTCTATGGTAAATATACATTGAGTAAACAAATTCTGATGGTAAGCATAAAAAAATTGCAACAAATATAGCCTTGAAGTAAGGAGTTATATTTCATAGAGAATAAATAATATAAAGCCATTTTAGTTAAAGTAAAATCCAACAAGATAGCTTCTGGGAAACAAACTGCTAGAAAATTCAACTTTATGGTGAAAAGTTGTAAATCATGCAATGCCCTAAACAGAATCGTACTCCACCTGGATTGTTTTTATGACAAGCATTTATAAATGACTATTTATATTCTATATATTTGGTTCAATATTTTTGATTGTTATTGCTTTTTTTTTAAGGAATTTGAGTCAAATGTTTTGAATTAAATATTCTCCGTAAGTATTGTTTCAACTTGTCACTTATAGTTTGACCTACAATTTTAGCAGACTTAATGATTTGTGACCTAACTTTTATATTTGCCTTAAATGTTGATTTTAATTTTATTAGTGTATCTATCTTTAGTTTCCTTGCAATCCTTTCTTATATAGTAACCCTCATCCTCTCTTCCTTCTATTTCCACAGTTAATTTGTCATTCCATTCCATTCTTCTCCTTGAGCTTTTGCATCTATCTGATACTAAGACTTTAGGGTATTTTTAATTTCCCATTGCTGTAAATTTTAATGATCTGTTTTCTATTTTTTTTTCCTTTTTTGGCACAATTCACCCATTTTTAATGTTTGACAGCAGGCAGGGGTATGAACTGACTTCGAAGCCTCCCTGAGGCACTCACATATCATTCAGAGATCTAGAATTAAGGACAGATTAATTTACATTGCTCATTCTTCAATTCCAGTTTGGAATGGACGTTTTACCAAGGACAGTTTTGTTACTTGCCATTAGCAAGTTCAGAATTTCTGACAGTTTGAAGAGATTATCAGAATGTTTTCAGATTTCAATATTCTTTTAGAGTCTTATATGTCTCTTCCACTACTTAAACCCTTTAACAAAAGAAATACATTTCTCATAATGCAACTACCTATTGATATTCCAGTTTTGTTTTCTGGTGGCTGCATTGTCTGAGCAGATGTGGGATGACAGAGGATGATGGCTAAGAGACCACTGGGTTTCTCAAGAAGCACCTCCAGCCTGAGTCAGTATATTGAGGGCCTATAAATTACCTGTTCTACTCAGAACTTGAATTTATGATACAGAGAGGGTTAAGGGTGAGCATAAGGGTGGGAGGCAGATCTAGTGGTAAAAATGAGCATTTTTTTTTTTTTTTTAGCAAGGTAGTATCTTTTGTATCACAATAGGTTTCAAAACTGAGGCTTTTCTGTTTGGAGATATCTATCAGTCCTGTTTTACCAATTACTCAAAATTCTGGAAATAGGATTGACAGATTTTACAACTGTTTTAATTATTCATAAACACTTAAGCATGATGGGAATCTTAAAACTGTATTAAAGTCTTATTAATAAGTTTATTTTAAATATATTTTAAATATTTTATTTCTGAAGTTATAGAATTAAAAAATTATTGTGACGATAGTAGACAGAGTTTCTGCATACTCCACACCCAGTTTCCCTTACTATTAATATCTTCCATTAGGGAGGTACATTTGTTATCATTAATGAACCAAAACTTTTATTGTTAATAAAAGTTTATACTTTATTGCTATTTTCCTTAATGTCCCTTTTTCTATTCCAGGATTCCATCCAGGAAATCATATTACATTTATAAATCATGTTTCCTTAGGCTTCTCTTGGGTGTGACAATTTCTCAAACTTTTCTTGGTTTTGATGACTTTGTACTGGTCAGGGATTTTGTAAAATGTCCCACAATTGGGGTTTTCCTGCTGTTTACCTCATGATTAAACAGGGTTAATGTTTTGTAGAAGATGACAGAGGTCAAATGTCATTCTCATCACCTCATATCAAATGTCCACACTATTAAAATGACTTATTCCTATTGATGTTAACCTTGATCACCTTGTTTGAGTTAGTGTTTTTAAAATTTCTCCCCTGTAAAATATACTTTGTATTTCCTTTTCATACTGAATTCTTTGGGGAAAAAAAGTCGTTATGAGCAGCTCACACTTGAACAGTGGGAAATCGTTAGACCTCCTTAAGGGTAGAGTGTCAACATAAATTATTTGGAATTTTTTCACATAGGAGTTTGTCTATTCTGTTTAAAAGTATGGACTCATAGGTATAGATTTTATACTTTGGATTATTATCTAATACTATCTTACCCTTACTTATTTTGTTTCTCAAATCATTTCAGCTTTGGCCATTAGAAGCTCTTTTACTTTGCTGTTGGATTCCCATAACAGGCAACTATTTATTTATTTATTTATTTATTTTTAGCATTTTCTTACCTTCTGTCCCTACAAGATGCTATAGACTCACCCTATAAAATTTCTGTCTCAGTTTTAGAATCAGAGAATTTCCAAGGGGCTGTACTTTTTACTCGAGAATGGTATTTGAAATTGAGATCTAGGCACTAGATATGCCCATTGTTGCTGGGGTACCATTACTTCTAGTTTCTCTCAACTGACAGAGCAAAGAGAAATATGCATGTT